CTGATTTTTTTTTATTTATTGTAGAGATGAGGTCTCGCTGCCCAGGCGGGTCTCGAACCCGTGGGCTCAGGCAATCCACTCACCTCAGCCTCCCAAAGGCGCGGGATTACAGGCTGAGCCACCGAGCCCGGCTTAGTTGGCATTTTAAAAAGAACAATTCAACAAAATTTAAAACATTTTTAAAAATTACATTCAGACCAGGCTTGGTGGCTTACATCTGTAATCCCAGCACTTTGGGAGGCTGAGATGGGAGGATTGCTTGAACCTGAGTGTGGGAGGCCGAGGTGAGAGGATTGCTTGAGCCCTAGTGTTTGAGACCAGCATAAGCAACATAGTAAGACTTTGTCTCTACAAAACAAAACAAAACAAACAAAAACTGGTCATGGTGGTACACAACTGTCATCCCAGTTACTCAGGAGGCTAAGGATACCCTGAGGCCAGGTGATCAAGGCTGCAGTGAGCCCTGATGGTGCCACTGCACCCCAGCTTAGGCAACAGAGTAAAACTCCAACTCAGATAAATAAAATAAATAATAAACTCAGTGCCACTTTATAAAAAAGAAAAGAAACTGGCCACTACCAATTTCACAGTCTTTCTGATGGTCAAAGAGTGAGGATATTAGGTATGTGTAGAGGTAATAAATTATCTATAGAGTCCTACTCTGAATGTAGGTTTTTTTTTTTTACACAAACTTTTATTTCTCTTTCAATTCCTTTTTTTTGTTGTTGTTAGTGACTGGGTCTCATTGTGTTGTCCTCTCCCTACAATTCCACTTTTACAATTGTGCCTTTCAGGAGGTGAATATGGAGGAGATTTTTTAATCTCTCTTCATATAGATACACTCTTAAGAGTTTTAACTTTATACTACCGCAAATGCAGCAATTTTCCAGAGTTGTCTCAAAAGGCAGACTGTGTTTATTAAAAAATAATGATAATATTAGTGGAATGCTATGTAACTAGAACAACCCTATAAAGTAAGCACTGTTTTATCTATGTAATAAATGAAGAATCTGAGGCTTAGAGAGGACAACGAATACTCAGCTAAGATTTAGGGAATAAAGAAGAGTTTTCAGAAACCAAAGCCCATCCTAGTATTTGCAACAAAATGCAGTGGTTTCTCCATAGATTCTCTTAAGTACTGGGAATCCTGAGGAAAAAAAATGAGAGGCTTACAAATCTTGAAAAAATTAAAGGCTAGTAGGAAAGATAATACACAATTTTTAATTTAATATGACACAAGTATAGCCAAGACATGTACAAGGCACAGATGGGAAGGGAGCAACCACGTGGGTAAAACCACATTGGATTGTCCCTGGCTGAGAGTGAGACCTCCAGAAGGTACATGTTGTTCTCACCTGACATGGCTTAAGGGCAGTCCCACGAGGCAGGAGAGCATCTTCTTCCGTGTCAGCATCCTACCATTTCCCTGGAAGAAGTCTCATCAATAAAGACACTGTTCTTTCCTGGTAATGATCTCTTTGAGATGTATGATTGTTGACTAGAAAGATCAAACTTTTAGGTAATTAAAGTTAGTTTTA